CCAGCCACTTGATTGATAATTTTCATCCCAACGGATATGTTCTTTTTATGACTCATTGTCTTGTATTATCTTGGCCCAAATTGAGTAAATTATTTTTGGTCCAAATGAGTTTTAACTCCCAGGCGCGTAAGTTCACCTTCCTCTCCCAGGACTGAGTCGTCGTCCCGTTCGAATCTGCTGCGATTCTTGGGGAAAAATCTCGTCGTTCACTCGATAATCTCTCGCATTCATCTCTTATATCTCGGCTGAGAGAGAGATCGATTTCCCTTCACATCAAATCGCGAGTTTAATTTCACAATCCCCTCTGCTCGATTTCGCGAATCGCCGCCTGAAATTCTGTCGCCATTTTTGTCCGGCGATCCCACCTTCGAACAACATATGTCGATCTAATAGCAAGTTCCAGCTTTTCATCGCCGGCAAATTTTCTCTATCTGCACGCTCGGATGACTGTTCGAACGAGGAGCGGCGGCGACCTCCCTCGTCCACCTCGCGTCCTGCCGGAGTGAAGAGTTCGCCGTCATTAAGCAGCGGCTTTCTACGTCCTTCATCAACCATCACAGGCGACCCTCTCCGCCGTCTCCGGTCAAACCGAGAACGCAGTCCTCCGTCATCGAGCAAACGAGTCCTGTTCTAATTACAGTTTCCGTCGAGCCTCCATCGCCAATCCCAACCACCGTCGGCGACCCTTCACCGCCTTCTCTGCCACCGTGTGCGAACGACCAGCGAGATCCCTCGACGAGAGGAGCAGCTGCTAAACCTCTGTCCACGAGCAGCCCCGCCAGTGTCCGTTCACCACCCGTTGCTTGGAGCCTATCCGCGTCGCAACTCTTCCGGCGACCGCCGACCTTTAGCAGCGGCCGGTTTTCTTTCTATTTCTCCCTGCCGATGATGCTGAGCAGTCCCGTTCGTGTGCGAGGAGAGCCCGAAATAGCAACAACAGCCTTTCTGGCCCGTGCGAGAAGAGCATCAGCACCCCATCGACCATCCGTTTCGCAGCATCAGGTTGCAGCGGCCACGCGAACCGGATAACAACTCGTCGGACCTTCGCTTGGCAGCCGTTCTTGTTTTTCACCAGGCAATAGCTGGCCCATTTTTCGGCCAAGTACCAGCAACCCTGTAAAACCGAGCCCTCCTTTTAGTAGGTATTATGGCTGACTCCTTTTACCCTCTACATGGCTGAGAAGTTGTGGTTTATTTTGTGCTTGATTCTCAGTTCATCGGCATGTTAAATGTTGAGAGATTTTGGATTTAGATGCCCGATGTTTTGTTTATGAATGCGGATGTGTGTTGCTTGTTGGCCGAATTGATGTGTTGTTTGTTGGCCGAATTGATATGTTGTTGTTGCTGAGGCTTAATTTTTTGTTCTTTTTTTTGGGCATGTTGGAATTTAGTGTATTCAAAGCATTTTCTCCTCAGTTTATGTGACCTTGACTTAGAAGATAATTGCTAAATAATAGGAAGAGAAGTGGCCTTTTGATGTGTTGTTTTCGCCTCGGCTTTGTTGTGATTTTTTTTTTGAAGTTACTTTATATTTTAAGCTCTGTTGTGATGTGTATATCAGAGCCTAAGTTTCAGCTTTCAAAGTTTTAGATTGTTGTATGATACATGAGAAAGGAGAAGAGAAGAAAGTTCATTTGTACATGTTGTGTATGTCTTATTTGAATGATTTATGTGTTGTACCTTAGGTGTATCATAATATCTGTTTATGTGTTTAGATGCTGCTGTGTTGGGTCAAATTCGGAGGTTAAGATTCAGTTTTTGTGGCCTTAACTTGTCATTTAAATATTGATAGAGTTGGCCTATGTTAGGTAAAGAGAGGGAAATGAGAATAGCACATGTAGGTGTTATTTTTGGGTCGTATGTTTATGTTTTAGCTGAGGCTTTTCATGAGTTTTTTTAGCATGCTGTAAGGTGTTAAATATAGAGTTTATAATTCAGATGTTGTGGACCTAGCATGTTAAAAGAATAAGAAGGCTAAGTTTTATGTATCTTGTGTGCTATTTTTCTTGATTGCCTACATGCTGTGATTTTGTAAGATTTAATTTCAGTTAATATGTCTTTATTTGGGAGTTAAATTTTGCAGTTATTATATCATCTAAGTTTGGTCTTATTTGAGAAAATGTGGTTTAAGAAGAGAAGTAATAAAGTTTATGTGATATTTTTATCTGCCTATATTCTTACCGAATTATATGCTCTTATCTGATTTACATGCTTTACGTGTTGTAATTGGTTATTTTGCATTTTAATCAAAACCCATAGTAATAAGACTTAATAATAAAAATGTAGGTTTTTGAGGAGTCGAGCCCTCTGCCTACCCTAGTCTGAATATCGTGTTTGTCGTCTGTTTCGACTAATCAGATGGGTTTTATTTGAAATTTGGTATGCAATAAATTGTTGCCTTAGATGTGGTATGATCAATGCATGCATGCGAACCATGTAGCCTTCGATGTGAGTTGTACCAGCCGTCAAATGGTTGTCCCCGTATTTATGAAATGAAACCCGAGGGGTGTACTCCTACTGACTGCGCATCGATGGAAGCCCGTGGGGCGATTCGGTGTATAAGCCTGGGCAAAGGCTTAGGCGTATCGCTCGAGGGGAATTCGATGTAAGACCTGAGCGAGGGCCTTCGATACGTTTATCAGCAGTAGTCTATTGGTATAGATGTGCACATGAGTCTGAACACTCTGAATTTATGATAAAATTTGGGATAATTAATTGATTCATATACATGTTGCGATCGTACCTGTTGATTTTATGAATATCGTTTATTGCATAGTGGTGAGCCATATGTGCTCACTCCCACCTGAATTAATATTTCAGGTTAAGCAGGGCAGGCATGATGGCGGAGAGAAGCGAGTGGTGGTCGATCTATATATGACCAGACTTTTGTTTATTGCTTCCGCTATTGGTGAACTGAATTTATGAAACTCTGGCATTTTATGATTATGGAGAATAATTTTGGGGAGATGCCTCGTAAACACTGTGATGATTGGAAAACCCGGTTTGGGTGACTTTTGATTTTATGAATCCCGTTTTGGGAGTTTGATATATTATGGTTGATGATTTATATGATGAGTCGATTTTATGACATGGAAATGATTTTGAAATGAAAGAGTATCGCCTCAAATGTTTTCATTGAATTTTGAAAAGAAAAATTTAAGTTGATTTTTCTGAAAGTCCGGAATTTCTTTAGAATCAAAGTGGGGCGTTACAGTTTGGTATTAGAGCCAGTCTACGTTTTCTGTAGACTGGTTTGCATGAATTATGTGAATTCTGTGACATACTTGAATATTATGAGGTAGTATGACCACTCGCTTCCGTCGTGCCGCGCCCACCAGGTATGAATTTATAAGTAATATGAAATTGCTTATGTGATATATATATGATAATATGTTATGTAAACTGGGGCTTAGGAATTTATCCTCCTGCTTTTAACAGTCGTGGAACTCTAGATGAGTGGCAAACTTTAGTTGTATGAACTTGAACTCTAGCGGTATAGAGTTAAGTTTTGAAGTTGAGAATTGGTTTATTGGAAAACTCGATATGATGTTATCGATCTGAGTTCTATTTGTAGCAGTCCTCTCGATATAAATTTAGTGTCTTCGAATGAGGGCCATTCACAATGCCATCTCGAAAGGAAAATGCTTAAATGAAGGGAGCAAATGACCAAAGAAATCCCAGGTGTATGGGTTATGCGGAAGTCTGTGACCGTTGTCAGATGTGTATCAGAACCTAGGCGAATGCGAACTAGGAGAAGGGTCTAGGTACCTCGTGCACGCCGTTGTTCGACCCCGAGATGTGGTGGGGGAAAACCTAATACGGAACACTGCCGCGACTCTCGAGGGTGGCCACACCCCGAGGAGGGCGACAATTGTATATTCTTTTGCGAAAATTCTCAAACGGAGGAATCCGACCTTGTTCTTAGGGCGGGTAACCAATACGACACCGCGTGAATATTTTATGTTGTGATCTCGAGGTAACACTCCAATCTTGAAGGAGACGTCAAAATTCGCTTCTGTGTATTGAGCCGCGAGTGATTTCCTAGTGGCAGTGAGACTTACTGGGAATAGTTGGAACCGATGGTGGAGGCAGCGAATCGTGGACTCGTGGAGCAAAGCAGTATTGTTTCTTTCTTAAGTTTTTGACTTCTTGAATACTCTTGCAAACCTTTATCCTGTTCGTATGGCAAACAATTTTGAATTGTGCTTGAGGCTTCTTTTTGTTATCCAAACTTCGTAGTTTGGGGAATTTCGCTGGATTTTCCCATTCCTGGCGTAGAATATCAGACGGATGTGAGCATCGACATTTTTTTTTATGATCCTTATCTCTTGAAACTTGTTTCGTGATGACTCTAACTCGATGCGAATGTCCAAGAGAGCAAGTATAGCTGTCTTCAAAACCCTGCCTTCTCGCTTGGATTAGGGTATAACTGTCTGCAAAACCCTGCCTTGGTTTCGCTGTGTAAGCAATGGTTCAAGCCTTCCAACCTTGAATTTCGTTTCTCTTGAAGGTTAACCGATTCTTCTTATTTTGTGATGTGTATTGCTTTCGTTTTGGAGACTTGTTTGCAAATAAGATTAAGCACCTCTTTGTTTCTGCTTATCTTTAATTGTTTGCGAAGTATATGATTCTTATCGGGATGTCAAGGCTAAGTTATCATCAAAAACTCGAAGGCACGATTTTCCGTCGCCACTCCCGAGGGTGATTTACACTCGAGGAAGACATTAATTATTCACGCTTGCCATCCAGATGAACGTGCTGGAGCAGAAGTCAACACAAATTGGTTCGATAAGAAAGATTGAGTGATTTGAGGCATACCAAAGAGTGTTTTCCACCTTAAAAGATTATGGTAAAATCATTTAAGGAGGATTGTAGAGTCCGGAGCAAGCACATCGCGTGGTGCAGAACCGTTCTTATCCTAAATTTTGTCCATCGTAGAAATTTTCGTTCTTTTACTCCTTTCGGAGTTTTGGGAGAGGCTCCACGCTCAAATTCCAAAGCGTGAAGAGTAGGAAATGAAAAATGAGTTGCGCTCGTTCAGGACTGCTGCCACGATTGGCTACCTGAGGAAGAGCTGATGTAACGACCGACGCTGTTGGTCGGTAGAGTCGAGGCGAGCTAGTTATTGTATCTCTCGGCAGAAGCTGCTGATTGGAGATTATTCCCGACTGAATAACCGTATTAGATTTTCATTGAGAATTCCCGTCTATCTCAATTGTTGATCTCTTCGCGTATTAGAATGTGTCGTTTGGAAAGGAAGTGGACTTGGAACTCGGGCTTGCACCTTACTATTTTCTGAACTCAGATATATATATATATATATATATATATATATATATATATCGTTTTGTTGAACTCAAAATTTTCGGAATTTGGTAAAACCATTCCTTTTTGTGGATTGTCTTGGACTGAAATTTTCTTATGGAACCTCGAACCAAACGCCGATCCTGGCTGGGTGTAGCCACGCGAAGTGGTGGCCGAGCACGCACGACCATGCTGAGAGACGTAAGGCTAGCGCGCAGCCGACCGTCGACTCGCACTCGAGTTGCAGCCGCCATCACCGAACGCACAAACTCCCCAGGCCAGTGTGTGCGGCCAAACCTTGACCTTGTAGCAGGTCTCAGAGTAGGTGTGTACGCGCGCGTCCCAGCGCCCCGCTTATGCAGCGCCAGCGAGCGTGCCGCCTCTTGGGTGCACTAACCCCAAATTATCCATTTCTTTCCTAAACTATTCGACCCGTTTCGTGCTGGACTATTTGGTTAGACATTTTGAACCCTTTTAT